TGAATGAATTATAATGGGAAATGAAGTAAAATGAAGTTTGGGAAACAAATTTGACTAAATGTTTTTGTGAGGTCAGTAAAGGAAAAACAAGGGCCTTGGTGATAAAGACATAAGAGATGTTGAGTCAGGATTTGCCTAATAGAAATAATGAATGAATGAACAAAACTCACTTACCTGTCTTTTCTCCCATGAATGAGGCAGGAATCGAGGTTTTTACTGATTCTATTTCCTGAATGTGTCAAGTTTCCCTTCCTTTCTTCTCTTACTGCTCTGCAAGCTGTCCCCAGCTTATCATCTATCATCAGAAACCAGCTAACTAGTCATTGCCTTAATCCACCCTCCACAACACTGCTAGAATGACCTTTCTAAACACAAACTGGGTAATGCTACTCCCATTTAAAACCTGTGTGGTTCTTTACCACCACCTACAGGATGAAGTTCATACTTTAGTACATGGTTCAAAGTTGAAAGGTGCCCACTGTGTTCCAGACACTCCACTAGTGCACTTCCCACTGAAAGACCCTCATCATGTTCAAAATCCATTCCATTCATAGCTATACACATTTCACAAAGGCATTTAATACAGCTCCCATTATTCATCCAGTAAACAAGTTCTTAGTCCTTCAAAACCAGTTCTACAGTCACCTGGAAGGCTTTACAGACCCATGTAGACAAAGATTTGCTCCCTCCATACCTGGTGTATCTTCAGCACATTATAACACTAGATTATAATGACCAATGAACAACCTGAAGTCAGAGAACGTCTGATAAATCTCTATTTCCAATCAAAACATAGTGTCTGACAAGAAGAAATTCTAAATAAGTATTGATCAGTATGGTGACTATGAAAAGTAGATTAAGGACAACTCTGATTCATCGCAATGGACTAATTACATATAGTCCTCCCACTCATCAGGTCTGTTCAGTCACCACTAGCAAGCATCATGTTAATGGGGAGGGGAGATGGTAACTCTCTATATAAAGCTCAGAATGTGAGCATATACCCCTCACACCTACATCATTGCCCTGAGAAGCAGCCACATGCATCAGTATGAATATTAAAGGAAAGCAAGTCCTGCATTTTGCAGCTTTCTTCTCCCTGAATTTGATCACACCAGCGTCCCTTTTCAATGTCTTTCATGGATCAGGCTTTCAAGAATTACACAAAGCTTGGGAAAAAATAGCACTAGCAGGACTGCCATGAAGGGGAGATACTGAAATCACCAGGGCTATAGGGTTGGCAGTCAAAAGCCATTAATAGGGCTTCCCTGGTGGCACAGTGGTTGGGGGTCCGCCTGCTGATGGCGGGGGACATGGGTTCGTGCCCCGGTCCAGGGAGATCCCGCACGCCGTGGAGCGGCTGGGCCCGTGGGTTGTGGCCACTGGGCCTGTGCGTCCAGAGCCTGTGCTCCGTGGTGGGGGAGGCCATAGCGGTGAGAGGCCCGCGTACCACAAAAAAAGAAAAAAAAAAGCCATTAATAAATTAATGAAGCAGTCATGCTGAGTTGGCTCTCTGGGATCCCACAGCTTAAATTCACTTTGCTAGTAAGCCTGAAAAGTATATGGCAGTAGGAGCTCTTGAGACCACCACCTGCAGTCACATTGGTGTAGCGAACAAAGTTTTTTACAACAGGCTCAAAACAGTTTAATAGCTTTTGAGTAGATTAGAGTGAACTGAAGTGTGCAGTTCAAAGAAAATGAGAAAATGGACATCTCCCTACTCATTTGATTTAAACTGTCAATGTTGCTAAAGTAACTGCAGAAAACTGGTCTTCAAGTCACCTGGTAATCCAGCAGTCTCCTCAATTCCTAGCTATAGAGTAGCTGATTAGACTCATTTGAGGAACAATCTATTTAGAACATTTTTCATTATTTGGAGCAAATTATTAACTTACAGAAATAGCCTAAAATTCTTGTAAAATTCTAGTAAAAACTATCTTCTATAGGATTCTTATAATATATAACCTGTATATTAAAATTGCCTTTAAAGTATTTATGAAAGCTTAAACTCAATTTAAATTTGAATACATAAATAACACTCAAAGAAGGGAATTCTCAACATATATAACATTTTTACCTAAAACCTGAAAACTTTATTGCATATATATCTCAGTTCATGTTTCCTTAGATACTTGGTCCTCTACAGAACTAGAATTTATAAATATGGGCGTATTTCATTAACTTCTACAACATTTTTTTGGCAATCATAAGGAAGAACAAGACTTCTGTTAGAGAGATAAAATTATATATTAAGGATTGGGTAGAAAATGCCTACTTTAAAAACTGGACATCTCAGCAAACATTCATTTTATCTAATTGTGCTGTGATTTTAAAGGATTTTTTTCCCAGCATCTATATAAAAATTTACATTTATTTGTTAAAGAAGTAGTTTCTAAAAATAGACTCAATGCTCTGAAGAGTTGGGAAGACAGACAATTTTAAAGTTTATATATACAACAAACTATACATGTAACAATTAAAACATTTAATGAATTAATATAACCCCACCAATACAATGTTTGCTACTGTATTAAAAGCATTTATTCAAAATATGTCAACCTTCTTCCAAAGGATGAAAGACACATGAGCCCATTTCTTATACTATGAGGTATATGGTAACAACAACAAAAACCCTAAATACAAAAGGATCATCAGTTGCCTAAATATAAAATTGAACTTTGGCAAAGATATGAGTGTTATACAGAATACCACAGCCAATAAGGAGATCCTTAAGTTTACACCATCTCCCTATATCATGGCACTGTCCCCGTTCACTCTTCCCTTTCAAAGGGTGAGTTATAACCCTGTCCCAGATGACTCAGAATTTTAAATAGGTGGTCTGCTGATTAACACATATTTTCTCAAACCTCAATACTACAGCTATACAAATTACACTTTAAAAATATTTGAAACAGGTAATTGAATTTATTGGTTGACTATGAGTAGGAAAATACATCGGTAAAGAAAAGAGACCCTGTATATAAATATAATACTAGCTAGTTACAATTTGACCAAGAAGGTTCCACTGAAAAGAAGAGTAAAAGCCCTTGTTACCACCAGTCCATAGGTCATATTCAGTTTCCCACTACCCTTATCAAAGAGCTGCCTAGGCAAATGGGACATTCTTTGAGCTTAGTGCAGATAATGTGCTGGGTTTTGTTACATGAATGGTAAACAAAACTTAGTCCAGTGCATTACACAATTTAATGTACTGTAAATAAAGACTAGATATTCTATTTTAAACACTACTTCAACATACTGGTTACTAAAATTTATGTAACCAAAAAGAAGAGCAAAGTGAACATCTCAAAATACTGTTTACAAGTAGGGGAGAAACACTTGCTAAAGGTTTTCTTTGAATTATCTGCAGCATTTGTACTGGGTATTCTTATTGGTTCATTAAAAAAGCAAATTGCTATAACTGCTTTGCTTAGGTTGGCTTTTATACTTATATAGCATGACCCCAAAACCTTAAACGTCACTATGGAAACTAATTCCATAAGTTTAAATAGTAAAAAATGGAATACTAAAATTGGAATTTATTATTGAAAACTGGAAATCTTTTAAGAGCTTTGAAATTTTAATTTCAACATTTAGAAGTGCATTCCACTCAATTTAATAATGTCCTTAGGTTTCAAAGTGCTAACTCAAGTTTTCCTGGCTGTCACCAAATCAAGTAAAAATAAAAGCACATTTCTTGGAGATGTTCCCTGCCTATTTTCTAGGACTATTAAAGTTGCAATCAACAATTTATTTCTACAACTTTAGTTTAAATTATGCCATAAATTAATTTTGATGAACATTGTTTAAATTCTTAAAGCATAAATAATTATCACTAATACAGTAAACTGTACTTCAAGAGATTTACAAGGAACTGAGCGCCTCCAAATTTCTGATCATTAAAAACAGAAAATATACCCCAAATTTTCTGTAAAACATTCATAAAATGGATTTATCCAGTAAGAATACTGAAATTACATTATGGCAACACCACATTAAATATATTTGTTACAGAATTTTTGAAGAAAACCTATACTGTGAAAACATACTAGTTTTTATTGCATTTTAGGGAGTACGGATTACTGGAAATTATTCAGAACACAGAAGTTATTTAAAACACAAAATCTTGCTTAACAGTCTATTTCGGTGTGACCATTTATTCCCTATAGACTTAAAATATTTTTCTCTCTTTTAAAGGTTACAGTTGTAAATCTACACTCTTGGTTCAATTTATCACTATCTAATAAGGTGGAGAAGCTTTTCAAACTGACCCACAGAAGGTAGTCTGCCACAGAATGCAGTCTGCCTAGAAGAGGCAAGAACAAATATTTTCAGGACGTAACAGGCCACTATATCTTACTATGCTGCCCCCAAATTCAAATATTTTGTAGACAATAACAAACACAGATGAAAACATTTTGTGTAAAGCTCAAACCTTTAGCATCTAACAAGTGCACTCTAGTTCCAGCATCTATGAAAAGAATATATCCTCCATAAACAGAGTAAGTGCTTCTCCCCTTCCCCTTTCATAAAGCTCTCTGGACCTGTTATTATATAATGCAGATCATAAGAAAAGCAGTTTCCTTAATCTCATCAGTCCAACCAGCTCCAGCATGCCCTTGCTGGAAATTGTCATGATGCACATTACCAACACAGTGTTTAGGATATATGAGTAAACACACCTGTTATTCACACTTTACAAACAAAACAAAAAACCCAAAAAGAAACCCCATAAAAGTTATGCATTGGTTCTATATCAGTAATACCAGCTTTCCAATGTACTGACTATAAACTGGATGTGTTCGGTGCCAGCACAACTTAAAACAAAAGGCAAAAAATAAAAAACCATCACAACAAAATGTTAAAAAAAAACCAAAAAAACCCCAAAAAAACCTTCAAAGGAAAAACCAGGTCCCAGACAAAGATTCAAGATCAAAACCATTTGGAGAATTTTTTCTTTTTTTTTAAAGAAAAAAAAAAAAAAAAAAAAAAAAAATTACTTAAACAGTATGAGATTTTATTTTCTCTTAAAAACAGAATAAGCACATTTAAGTGCTAAACATTTTTCATAAAATTTTAAGTCATTATCCAAAATGACTCACTCTCTGTATAAAAACTGTTACTAACACTCAACAATTTCTTTTCTTAATGCTCACATACATGGTGTCCTTTTGCTCCCCTGCCTGCAGTTGAAACAAAAGCAGTTAGACCAAGTTCCCTGTGAATTCATTTGATTTTTTTGAGAGAATGAATGAATGAGAACAGAACATATAGGAGTTAACTTTGCAAAGTTAAAGCTGGCTTTAATCTCTACTAACAGCACTATGGGTAAAATACAAGGTATAATATAACTTTTATCTTGGTTGACATGTTAAAATGACTTAGTCACTTTTAAAATGATCTGAAGTATTGTCTTAGGGACCTGTTTTGAAAATACATCTCATTTATTTTATACTGCTTCATAAACGGAAAATTACTTTTTTTTTAAAGGAATGATTTCTAAAAAACATGGAAACTAAGGAATACATAGAAAACAAAAAGAATTCACATGATAGTAGTACTCTGGGTGATGAACAGCACTGTGCAATGACACCAAGAAGCAGTGCTTGGGTCTGGTAAGTAAAGACCCAAGGACCCACCCTATGAACATGTTCCAAAATGTGATATTCAATGCTTCACAATGGAAAAAAAGCCACAGCCCATACAAAAGCATTTTCATAAAACTCTGACAAATGTTAAACAGTATTTAAAAATATAAAAGAGGATGCACAGATTTTCTCTGCATGCACAGGCAGTGCTTGGTGAGAACAAATTCAGGCACGCACAGTGGAGATAGGACAGGAAGTGTCGCAAAAAGGAGTTAAGAAGCTGTCCCTAAGCAGCTGTAATTTTGAACTTAAAAAAGCTGAGGATTTAAAAATATCAGAATGTATATATATCAACCATTACATTCAGTCCATAATGCCTACAGATTATTCACTGCTCAGCTTATCTGTCCTGGTAGACAGTTTTTTGTAAAAACCCAGGAATTCATGGGTAAGTTGCCTCTGGTCCAAGAAAATGTCCTAAACTTTAAACAGATTTAGATTTAAAGAGCAATGTTCTCAATTTAAAAACAAAGTAGTACAAAAGGGCTAACAAAACCCTAACAGTGCAAATTGTCAGCAGAGAAAGTCTGTTGCAACTTCTTTTACAAGCTGGCCTTTATAACACATGAAACAGGTAAAAAAAACTTAGCCTTTGATTACAATACAATCATTTCCAAATGTGATTTTTTTAGTACAAAATTTCATAAATCAGGTCTTCTGTGGATCATATACAATCATAAAGGCTAAATTTAAATTCTATATTTTACAAACAAGTCTGAAAAAGGAGGGAGTAAAGTATGGAAGAATGATCTCTGGATGTTATTACTGGCCTCAAAAAAGTAGTGCTACAGATTTCTGTGCAAAGAGAATATGCTGTTCAAACATTTTCCTATTTCAAGGCATGAAAATATTATATTGGATAGAAGAAACAGGAAAATTACTTGTAACAAATTAAAGATAGGTGCAAACACACCAGTCCCTGTCTAACAGTATATAAAGCATATCGGGCTCAGAATTTGTCTGTTTGCTAGCACCTGGCTTTCACACTATATCCTTATCAAATAATCAGATTGAAAACTCAAATTATCATTAAGAAAAAAAAATCCCTAGTGGCCATACCTCACTCCCCTGTATTCAGATTTTTTACGAGTTTACGAGTGAAACTGAGGTCATCCTCTGAAGGTACTTGACTACCTCCTGCCAGGAAGGTGAATGCCGTTAACTTGGGGCAGGAAAGGCAGTAAGAGCTCCAGTTGTGCAAAAAGTGAGAAGTGGTCAGAGGGGATGAGTGGGTGTGGGCAGCCGCTGATATTGTTCTCAACTAGCCAATGGTGGTCCAGAGGTCCCAGGATGCCTAAAGTGTTCAGCTGAGGTTTAGAATAGAAGATGTAGTCAATTATACCCTGAAAAACAGAAGGAAAAAAGAAAAAAAAGACAAGGCCCCACATAAGATAACACTTGAATACTGAGAACTTTCAAGACATATCCTTAGAGTCAAACAAAGAAACTTATTAGCCTGTAGGAAAAGGCAATACTACATAAACCAAATGGCATCCCCAAATGTGAGAATGAAGAAAGTTTAGGGATGATAATCATTCTTCCTCCTATCTGGATCTTTCCAAAATCTTTAACAAGACCTAAAGAATCCTTCATGATGAGCCTCTGCTTCTCTTTCCTAACTTAATTTGTGACACTTTTCCTTGCTCACTACTCCACTGCCATAATAGCCCTTTTTGGGGAGTAGGGAGGTGTGGTGTGAAGTGGGGTACATTCCTTGTAGGTGCCAAGCTCTTTCCTGCTCCAGGGCCTCCACACATGTCTGGAACACTTTCTTCTACTTGTCAACTGGCTAACTCCTTCTCAACCTTCAAGTGCCAAGTTTAATCACTTTCCCAAGGCCTTCCTGTATCGTGCCCTCACCCACTTAATAGCTCCTACCACCTCTGATTCTTTTCCCTTGCTAACGCACTCCCCAAGGTGTAACTGTATACTCATTTGTGTGGTTGAGACCTATCTCTCCCACCAGATCATGATTCCACGAGGGCCAGGCTCTCTGCTCTCAACAACCTCAACAGTACCCAGGCACAGCATCTGGCACACAGCTAGGTTACTCTTGGTTTGTTCCTTTCCTCCCTATAACTTCCTCCCTATAACTTCCGACTCTCCTTTACACGCTCCTGGCCAAGAGCATTTAAGCATGTTCAAGAGTCTTCTTCCTAATTTTCTATCAGGAACAGGAATAAGAGGAAAAGAAAAAATCCCTAACCTCTCCCACCTTTTAGTTATCACCCTCACCTCTTCTTCAATCAACCTGCTTGAAATGAGAATCTAAAAGTTGGTTTTTCCTACCTCATTGCTCAGTTATTCTCCAACTCATCATATTCTAGTTTCTCTGACTAGCTCTCAAGTGAAACAACTCTTATCAATATCTTTCTGAAGCTTAACACACACACCTCTTTCCCTAGAAAGGTTTTCTTTCCTTGCATTTAACTTCCTATACTGTCCTGGTTTTCCACCTCTCTGGTTACTGTCATTTACATGTTAGTTTTCCCCAGTCTACTCCAGTCTCTCTTCAACTCTACACACTCATCTGTTCCCAGGGTTAAATCATTATCTACAGTATTGTGGATCCTCCAAAGCCAAATAAAAAAAAATTGACAGTTTTCAACAGTTTCTCAAAGGAGTCTAAACAACCTCCCCTCTAAAATTAAGAACCAGTTAACACAAGTATTTACACTATTCTAATAGACAATCTAACCTGAATGATTATTTTCTCAGCAGGTTAGAAATGGAAAATTAGGATTTTAGAGAGCGTAAATGCAAAAGGTAGCTAAAAAGGACAGTTGAACACAAGTCCTAAACAACCACAGATAATAAAGTGAGGAGAGTTACTAAGGAAAAGGCTCCATATTGTAATCCATTAATTGTGTAACAAGGCATATAAATAATATATATATTAGAAATTTTAAAATGGCTAATAATAAAAGACATTTTGGTTCTCAAGTAGTACAGTTTCAGTTAAACTGAAATAGAGATGGAACACCTCATCTCAATTGACAGCAAATTAAATACGATGGCCCTGCATATCCAGCTGTTAGTAATGAGCCTATAAAAAAAAAAAAAATTGCCCCAAAAAGGTGACAGCTAACTCAGGATTCACTATCATTATTTCATCTGATTTCTTACCTTGGAAATGATTCTAATAGGTATCTATAAAGTGGGGATGGGACTCTAATCACATGGAATTCTACATTAAGAGTAATAAAAGAGGGCTTCCCTGGTGGCGCAGTGGTTGAGAGTCCGCCTGCCGATGCAGGGGACACGGGTTCATGCCCCGGTCCAGTAAGATCCCTCATGCCGCGGAGCGGCTAGGCCCGTGAGCCATGGTCGCTGAGCCTGCGCATCCGGAGCTTGTGCTCCGCAATGGGAGAGGCCAGTAATAAAAGAATGCTGCTGTCAACTAGTTCGAGATGGCTTAATTCCATTCTGAGCATTAACATTTAAAGCCGTCATAAAGTTATAAGACACTTTAAAAAAATGAAGGCTTTAAAAGTTTATTATCTCAAAACTCACCTTAAAATCAAACGTGTAATTTGTGTAAGGCATCAGGCCACTCTCATAGGCACTCTTTAACTTGAAACCATGAGTGATCCTTCCATTGCTTGTCCCATTTTTCCCATTACAGCTGAAGTTTGTAAGACTTTCATTATATCTCAGTTCCTTAAAGTCTTTATGATTTGTTTCTACTCCACCAGTGCTCAAATATTCCACAACACCTATAATGAAAATAAATGTACTTTTTGCACTGTCAAGTAAAATACACAGTGTAGAACACATAACTAAAAACATAATTCGGTAGTAAAGTTTTAAATCACACATATTCCCACTTTCTAAAATGTTTCACTGTTTTTCACATTTGCCAAAACTTGTATAAACCCATTCTTACATGGTTTTAATCATAGTATACTGAATATTCTATACTGTATCACATGAACTTATGTTCATATGTCTTCTCAATTATTTTTTTTAACGATTGCATAATACAACTGGGCTGATTTGTTAAGCTAGTTCCTTATTTTTTTTAAATTCATGTTATTTCTACCTTAAAAAAAAAAGAATACTATAATCAACATCTTAGTATGTAGGTTTCTGCTATGCTTAGTATAAAATACCAAGATTAGGATTCATTGTGCCTAAATATACATTGGGTTGACCAAAAAGTTCTTTCAGTGTTTCCCGTAAGATGGCTCCAGTAGGCACTTAAGTTCATTTGAAACAATTTTGTTAGATTGTGACAGCAGTCATATCAGCGTGCATTTAAAAAAAGAACTTCTCAAAATTGGTGAATTTTTGTGTAGCCATTTTAATATTGAAGATGGAAGAAAAAAAGCAACATTTTAAGCATATTATGCCTTATTATTTCAACAAAGTTAAAAATCAACTGAAACGCAAAAAAATTTGTGCAGTGTATGGAGAAGGTGCCGTGACTGACTGAACGTGTCAAGAGTAGTTTGCAAAGTTTCGTGCTGCAGATTTCTCAATGGATAATGCTCCACAGTTGGGTAGATCAGTTGAAGTTGATAGCGATCAAATAGAGACATTAATTGAGAACAATCAACGTTGTACCACGCGAGAGATAGCCAACATGCTCAAAATATCCAAATCAAGCGTTGAAAATCATCTGCACCAGCTTGGTTATGTTAATTGCTTTGATTTTTGGGTTCCACATAAGTGAAAAAAACCTTCTTGACCAATTTCCGCGTGTGATTCTCTACCAAAATATAATGAAAATGTTCCGTTTTTAAAACAAATTGTGACGGCTGATGAAAAGTGGATACTATACAACCATGTGGAATGGAAAAGATCGTGGGGCAAGCAAAATGAACTAGCACCAACCACACCAAAGGCCGGTCTTCATTCAAAGAAGATGATATTATTATATCTTCTATTATAAGCTCCTCCCGGAAAACCAAACGATTAAATTCCAACAAGTACTGCTCCCAATTAGACCAACTGAAAGCAGCACTCGACAAAAAGCATCTGGAATTAGTCAACAGAAAATGAATAATCTTCCATCAGGATAATGCAAGACCGCATGTTTCTTTGATGACCAGGCAAAAACTGTTACAGCTTGGCTGGGAAGTTCTGATTCATCAGCCGTATTCAATAGGCATTGCACCTTCGGATTTCCATTGATTTCAGTCTTTACAAAAGTCTCTTAATGGAAAAAATTTCAATTCCCTGGAAGACTGTAAAAGGCACCTGGAACAGTTCTTTGCTCAAAAAGATAAAAAGTTTTGGGAAGATGGAATTATGAAGTTGCCTGAAAAATGGCAGAACGTAGTAGAACAAAACGGTGAATACACTGTTCAATAAAGTTCTTGGTGAAAATGAAAAATGTATACACACACACACAGCCAACTCTGAAAGAGTTACAGAGCAACTTCAGCATCCCTGGACATTATTTTTCCAATATGCGAAGCATAAGATGGGTTCTGCAAATATTTAACTTTCATTTAATTAGTTAACAAGACTGGACATTTTCCCATGTGTTTGCTATTAAAATACTATATTTTGCAACGTGGAAATAGGTCCTAAGATCTGCATTATTTGACAAGAGTCTCTCGTGGCCCTCAGATACTTTGTAGCTAAAAAGAGGATGCAAAGCATGTAGAGAAATTGCCGGTAATCCCCAGATGGCTTTGAAAGAAGAATTATGGATCTTAGACACCTTTATTTCCCCTGAAAACGAATTTTTTTTTTTTTTTTTTTTTTTGCGGTACATGCCCCTCTCACTGTTGTGGCCTCTCCCGTTGCGGAGCACAGGCTCCGGACGTGCAGGCTCAGCGGCCATGGTTCACGGGCCCAGCTGCTCCGTGGCATGTGGGATCTTCCCGGACCGGGGCATGAACCTGTGTCCCCTGCATCAGCAGGAGAACTCTCAACCACTGCGCCACCAGGGAAGCCCTGAAAACGAATTTTAACATACTTTCTAACTTATTATCTATTCTCTCATCTACTGTGATAGCAGTGATGTGCTACTGAATTTAACCACTCCAAGTGTGTGAATGTGTGTATGTGTGAATGTGTGCATTTTTGCATGCATGTAAGTCCAAGGAAAAGTATTCTTGTGTATGTGAGAAAGTATAAACAAGGAGCTAAAAGACAAAAAGAAATACTTAGTTTGATATTACAAGGACTATGGTTTTTACTCACTGTACTAACTATGGAAAAGTATTTAAGAATAAGGCTTTCTGTGTTCTTCTACTTTGTGATTAAAAATCAAGATTCTTGATCTTTTTTTGTTAAAATCACTTGCCTGATCTGTGTAAATAAAAAAATCTCAATTTCCACCTGAGGTTTATTTTTCTAATCAAGCCCACCAAAACTGGAGATCCTTTAATATACAGTCAAATTTAAACTGGATTTTATTACCACATGCTGGAATCCCAAAGAGTCTGTCTTAATAACCTTTTCAGAGTGTGCATTACATATAACCTGGGGATAATGAAATACAATTATATGTTCTTTAATAAGTTACTTCAAGTTATCACCTACGTGTTTACTGAAGATGATTAACATCCTTCCTCCTGAGGTTTTTCATAATACCATTTCATTTTCAAAATGGTTCCCCTACTCCACAACATTTTTTTTAACCTGATTCATAGCTGCCACTATAAATTGAATTTTCATTTTGACTAAATTTGGAATTATCAGAAACAACACATTACAAAAACATTTTAAGTCAGTAAGCATTCTATATAAAATAGCATTGTTTTGTTTTGTTTTGTTTTTACCAGAGTCCGGCAAAGAATTAAGATCTGCACACAACACCAGTGGAATAGTTCCAAATTCTCCCAATGCACTGGACTGGAGGCTTCTCGAGGCTTTATCAATGATGTTCTTCACTTCTGAGAGGAACATCATTGTTTGAACCAACTTCACATCAGAGTATTCAGGGTCCCAGTGCATATGAGCATTAGCCACGAGAATAAGTTGTTTTTCTGTTCCAAGATGTGGCTTTCCAGCTATATTAGATAAAAAGAAACAAACAAAACCTGTCCATAACCCCATATATGCTCACAGGGTCTGAAAGCAAGTAATATCTCAGAATCTTGGGAATAATAAAGAAGCCTAAAATTTAGTTAACAATCTCCCACCTGATGACTGAATCTACCCTACAACAAACCTGAGAAATAGACATCTAACCTCTCGGCTGAGTACTTCCAGCATAGGGAATTCACTACTTGAACAGAGACAGCCCATTCTATTTGGGACAGCTTGATTTTTAAATAGTTCCATCTCCTTAAAACTTCTGGTCTTCTAGATGTCCTAAACTGAGCATCATAAAATTGACACCCTTTTTCTTAAGATATATTTAAGATAGTCATTAAGTTCCATCTTTCATCTTTCTATCCCTCAGATTAAATATCCCCATTTCCAACTGTTCCTCAAGTGACAGAAGTTTCAGTTCTTAGCATGAAGGTCACTCTAAACATACATTTAATTTGAAATAAGTGGTCCATTTCTCCAAAACTCAAGACCTTTAAAATAATGACTAAAAAGGTCAGGAAGAGAAGTCAGCATACAGAATATCCCTGTTGCCAAGAAATTATATAAGTGTATGGAGTTCTTCTCTCTAAGCAGTCATTTTAACTAATATTTACTTCAGCATTTTATGTGAAAAATTCTTGAGGAGAAAATAAAGCTGTTTTTTTCCTTTGGCTTTATGCCTTTTAAGATTTGAAATAGTTTTCTGGGCAATGAATGCTTCCTCATCTTGAGCTCTGTGGTAGAGATAAATGGATATAAGGTTTTAGAATCTAAGATTTAAATTCTGAGTTTCTTCAGGTGTTAGACAAGACTATTAATATGTAACAAATTTTTCTGTTTTCTATTAAATTTTGGAGGTCAATTTCATAGGAAGTGGAAAAGTCACTCACATGACATTTCAATCAATTCCTTTCGAAGTTCTAGCAGTACAGCAACTCCAATGTTATCTTTTGTCATGACTCTGTTCAGCATAGCTTCAGACCCTTCTGAATTTGCCATTGCTAGCTGATTAAATTCAACAGTGTGTTTCTGAACCAAAGTAAATCTAAAACAAAAACAAAAACACACAAATATAAAATTGAGAATACCAAGACATTAGCTTTGTGGAAAATGCAATTTTCCCAAACTTCCTTAACAGGTATGATGGCATGTAAATTACATTATGGAAAATCCTCCACACTTAACACCAAGCTTCCCATGTCCATTTAAGTTGTTCTTAGTCTGTTATGGATACAAATAACATTTTGATAAACTTTTACAACTTAAGAAAATGTAGTCATCTTCTGTTTAGGTTTCACATTGGAAAATTCCATCTTATAATTTTAAAATAATTCTCTTCCTAAGTACACGCTTAAGAATCTCTCCACCATCCCAGAGGGAATGCAATTACAAGGTGTTTCAAGTAACAATTGGAGTTAAACCCTAGCAAACACCTGAAGAAACAGCAGCACTTTCAACATGTCCTCCAAAACACTATTTCTGATGGATCAAAACAAAACCCTCTAAGTCAACAGTACTGTTTTCTTGAGTAATAATGTAACGCCTCATTCTCTTATTTGCCAACTAATTTCCATTCCCTTGGCCCCCATCCTGCAAACAGAGAAAGTTTTCTTTTTAAGAAATAAGATGACTGGGAATTCCCTGGCAGTCCAGTAGTTAGGACTCTGCACTTCCACTGCAGGAGGCAAGGTTCGATGCCTGGTCTGGAAACTAAGATCCTGCATGCCATGTGGCTCAGCCAAAAAAAAAGAAAAGAAAGAAAGAAAGAAGATGACTTACTTTTCTGTCTTAAAGAATATTGCACAGCCATCAACATGTTTTCTTTCTTGTTCTGACATTGTCCTAGCTCTAGATTTAGGACTAAAGAATCCATTATAGCCACGTTCTTTCAGTTCTACCAGAAAAAAACTGTAATACTGTTCTGTTTCAACCTCCTGAAAAATTGTAAATAGCAGAGTTATTTCATAAGACAAAAATCAGTCCTATGCATTACCTTTATATGTACAGTTTAAGAACTTAAAAGAATTTCAAAGGACTGATTTGCAGAATGAAGAATTACATTTTTTCGATGTAATTTATCTGAAACCAATCAGAACACCTACCTGTCATTATACAGGCACCAGTTGATAAGGTCAATTTTTTATTGTTTAGGAGTAAAGAATAGAAAGACATACACCCCTATGCATATATTTTTACTTATATTTTAGAATTGGCATAGAACAAAAATCAGAGAGGTAACAGGAACTCCACAGATCAAATTTCACACCACAAGGAGAGTGACTTGCCCAAGGTCATGTAAGTTATTATGAGAGTTGGACTGAGAACCCAGTTACTGTGCACCAGGTTCAATGCCCTTTCCACTTTGACCTAACTATTCAATTACCACTGGTAGTAAAGCAAAATTATACCTTGATAGTGCTACATTTTGAGTAACATTGCCACCCAATTAAAAAATAGTGTACAGGGGCATTAGGGAGGAAAAAGTAAACATTTAGCTGTCATAGCAAACATTTAAAACCCAGCTTAACCCATCTGCTTAATTTGGCAGCACACTGCTACAAAGCACAGCAGGCAGTGAATGCTCCCAGAATTCACTAAATACAGAAAAAGTCCATATTTTAATAACTGCTAAAGCTAGGACTTCATATGTGTCAGTGTAATGAGTTCCCAAGCTGTTCCTTGCTTGATCAATGTTGGGGCATTTCTGCAATTTAAACAAGTGCTCTTCTGATGACTTACCTGAAGACTTATGACATCAGCATTGCAACTCAAGATTTCTTGAATAATGGCCTTTTTCCTGTAGTCCCAATTTAGTGCCCATGATGGACAGTAGCCATATAACTGCCGGGTCGCATATTTATCACAAAGAACATTATAGCACATGACAGAAAACAAGGCTGTAGGAAAGATAACTTTACTTATTCACACACGTGGCAGAAAAAAAAAACATAATTAATTTCAATAGTTTTCACTTAAATGCTAAGTTTGACTTTATTCATTCAATATATATTCACTGAAAAACTACTATATGCCAGACATGGCATAAGTAATGTTAGAAAATAAATGAAGGACAGATATGTGAACAAATTATAATATAAATAAATAATGTGTTTCCTGCTACAGAGGTACACACAGAAGGTTCAAAAACTAACAGAATACAATCTTAAGTCCTTCAGCCTCTAAGACCAGGGCTCCTCATTTCTATGTTCCCTCCACCACTTCAACAATTGTTAATGTAGAATGTGGAAATCTGACAGGTAGTTTTCTTAACAGGCATCTCTACTTTTCTTCTACAGAGCAACTACTATTAATTCACATGAAAGAAAAGGGGTATTGGAATGGTTCCATTATTAAAATATTTTAATGTTATACTTCAAAAAAAAAAAAAAAAAAGAAAGAAAGAAAAGGGGTATTATAGACCAAATCCTGGTGCACACATCACAGAAGTGCTCAAACTATTTTCATACAATTTTAAAAGGAGATTAGAGGTCATTAGTTCGATTTCTCTTTCAAGTAGGTGTTTTGGCTATCTTAAACTTTTGTATTATCAAATACATCTGGAACACAGTACAGTTTGGAAACTTACAGTATAGAAAGAGTTTCGTGTATTTATTATAACTGAATTTGATCAATACTTTAGAGCAGAGTTCCTCAACAGCAGCACCTCTGATCTCTAGCCACAAGATGCCAAGAGCACTTCTACCAGTTGTTAACAATCAAAAAATATCTCCAGGCATTGCCAAATGTCTTCTGGGGCATAAAATCGCCTCTGGTTGAGAAGTACTGCTTTATACCAAACTTTCCGTAGCACAGTAAAGAGGCCAGGTAATCAAGTCTTCGTGATTATCTCCCAAACCAAATCAACCTTAAGCATTCTACTGTAACACTGCCCAAAATCTAAAGCATACCAACAATACCATTAGGTTTACAAAGAAAAAGTAAAAATAAGATTTAAAAAATTAGGCTACCAACCAGTTGGCCGTGTTCTGTCTGGTTCCTGTAACATAATCCAAGATCTTGGAGGTGGTTGTTCTGTTGAAACTAGTTGAATATAAAACACAAAATTAAATAATATTCTTACATGTCTTTCTAAAAAAAATCGTTTAATCAAATGACCACTTACTTCTTTTTGCAGTACCTGCCAAATTATCAAGCAAATAGTTCAGTAGCCTTCTTGTTCCATCTGGTTCCAGATAGAGGTTCAGTATATCCTGGGTAAGTGGATTTCCTGGAAATGTTTTTTAAATAGGTAAAATGAAACCAAGACAAATACTAAAATATTTCAAAACTGAAAAATATACCAAAATTATCAGATCATCTATAACAATGTATATTAACTATATATATATATATATATAAACCATATATATAACTGTATATAAAAAACTATATATTAACTCAACATACCAAACTAGAGTATTATTTTTTTTCAGCTTTTGATGTGAAGAATAAAAATGATTCATACCACATTCTACAGAAGTATCCAAAAAATGATTATTAATGTACTGATGTCAATCTAGAAGATATCTAATAGTGCTCTGCATCTGACCCTGCCTCATCAACACTTTCATAATGATCAAAAGAGAGTAAAACTGGATTGGGGAAGAGTTGGAAGAAGGACTAGGCAAAGGAAAGGTGAGAGCCAATATAATGAATCACAGAATCAAAATTTAAGAATGCTACAAAGTTAATAAGTAAACATCCTAATGACAAATGCTGTCTAGCACTTAGATTTTTTTAAATTCTAATGAATAAAGTAACAGGATGGGACAGACTTGGTTTAAGATTAAGCCACTAATGAAGGGGAAAACCCTAGGGCAGTGATCCAACAGTAAATTCAATCACTGTTTCATAAGTGCCAAAACTGAAAGCTAATGCAATGATTTACATGTATTGTTAATAGTCTCAAATTCTCTCAGAAGGACTTCTTATGTAGAAGTAACAGCACAGTACACTGTTTCAAAAGCAAAGTTCCTATCCATGCTCCATTTTAAGAAAGACTAATAAATTCTATAGATGGAAGATAGGTAAAATGATGAGAGATCTTAGCCATTCCAAATTTTTTTAAAAAAGGTATGGACTATAAGAATGATCACCACACAGAGAAAAAAGCATTTTTTTTCCTTTTCTCTTGTGAAAGAGTAGACTCAAAAGGCAGAATGAGGACCAAGCTCAGAATAGAAGTGTTTGTTAAACATTAGAATTATTTAAGATGAAATGCCCTGACCTGTGAGGTAGTGGAGTATCCTTCATTAAGAGCTGGATTACACGGATGGGAAGAATCCTAAGTTAGGATTTTAAGAACTGTAAAGGTAAAAACATGCTCCTATAAGTGCAAAGTATATATTTGTAGGAAGACAAGTAACAATAGTATCATTCCCCATATGTGTACAGTTCTTTACAGCTACCAGAGTCCTGAAATTTTCATTTAGTCACAATCCTATGAGACAGGTAGCTATAACCTCAAAGTTACCAGCACCCTGTTAAGGATACCTTGAGAAAATGAAGTCAACCAAAAAACTTCTCAGTACCAGGTAAGCATCCCATTCTAACTAGACCTACATTACTGCTGTTATTTTTACTACTTTCTAGTGCAAAAAATATTTAAAGGCAACTGCTGAGTACTTTTAACTATGTGATCCTCCCTTCTAAGATCTTTCTATAAAATTAAAAACCATCCCCAAACCCAAACATCTATTTTTGACTCTCTAATAAATGCATGAAGCCAAATGGTATATTTCCCCCAACCATCTGCTTGTTCTTTGGAATTCCTTTAAATTTAATCTACTTTTCATTGCCTGGAAAAATAATACACATAGGGTAAACTTAACAAGTACAATACAATTCTGGAAGTAAAACATGATATTGAGTCTCAGAACTAAGGAACAAAAGTGAATGAGAGAAGCTGTTTCTGGAAAGATGAAGTAAACATACTTTTCCCTATTTCTCCTGCTGACTACAACTAAAATCCCATTAATT